CATGGACACTGATGAATTAAGATAAAAAATTGATCATTCAGTAGGAAATCCTACGTGGCCTTGTGATTCCAAGCGCTACACTTTATGGGCTTTTTCTCGAAAAGTGCTTTTATTGATTCCAATAGTGTGAATGTCTAAATATCTCCAGAACGCAGCACACTACAGAAGTCATTCATATATCAAATTGCAGCTTTTGATGTACAGAATTCAGCCATATCCAAAAACTCACAACCTGAGTCTGGCGACTTTTTCCCGTCATGTGTCCTACATTGACTACATGTGCACAAGTAGAATTCGCAGATTATAAATCTGTTTGTTTCTGCCTTGGGAGAAAATTGAGTTTTCAAAATAAACACAGAGCCCATTGCTTATTGTACAGAGTGCATTTGTACTTGTCTAATTAACCTAAAAACGTTAATGGTTTAAAGTTTGAATTGATTTCCTTTTGTATGACAATTGGAATTCAGCGGATTAAGGCCAAAGATTGAAGTACAGAAGTCACAGACATCCAGTGAAAACTTTCCATTCCGTGTTCTCGTACACGTACCGGTACATGCACAATGTACGCACACAAAGATTCACCAAGTTGGGACTGTCTCTTGATTTTTCCAATGACATCAGTTTGGTACATGAGCCACAGGGGGAATTGAACTTTGTAACTGTTGGAAGTGACTCAAGAATGGGGAATGACTGCTTGCCAAGTGGGCTTTCAGCGGCTTGCAGTTTCATCAGAACAAAGAAATGTATACATGCACCTGAACCTCATGTACGGTATAGCATGTCTTGTTTTCTACTCGGTTTCAGTACCGGTAGATGGTCACATTGTTGAAGTTACCATGGTTACCAGCAGAATTTTTTGGCATCCACATTCCATATCTTTGATACATGTAGCTTGATCCCAGAACATGGCGAATACATTGTACAAACACACCCCTCCAGATCAGATTTTTGCACTGGGACGTAACAAAAATATGTGAGGAGGAAAGATTATTGAACAGTAATCACAGGTGCAGTGTAGCGATTCGGTTCCAGTGCTCTACTACGGTACCCCCTGTACTTAGTTTCGTGAAGTTCATACATGTACATGTATTTGTTCATGTAGGTTTTTTTTTTTTTTTTTAATTTTTCCTGAAATGTAGTTGACGTATAACACTTCCAAACTTAGGTATGGTACACCAGAGCTTTGATTTGTTTTGCTGATACAATGTACACAAACTTGTCCATGCATGTATGCACCATACTGTCCATGCATGCCTGTATTTACCATGTTTACCGATAGGATTTGATTAGGTGATGATTGTTCAGTTTCCCAATGTTACTTGCCTTCATTAACCCTAACAGTCCCGAATCCTCCAATTTCAATATAATTTTGCACATAGCATAGGGAGTTAGGGTCAAAGCCGCTGCGGGCTCTGCTGTGTTTTTTTCACAAAGTGCACATATTAAAATGGGATTTTCTAATCCTCCCCAAATCCGATTCTTTGGCTGAGATGCCGTGTTGGTGGTGCAACCTGCATCAGCACACCTCAGCCCTCTTGTGCATCCCATTCATGCATAATAGGCCTACTGCACTGTATGTCTACATGCACTGGTACATGTACATCATGCCCACAGGACCGAGCAAACGGAAAAATAAAGCCACTGCTGACGCACCCACGTATAGTCTACTTGAGACGGCAAAGTTTATTGACCTGTGTTTGGCATTCAAGAGCTGCAGACCAGCTTTTAGTGTCTGGATCACATTTTGGCCCCTCGCCAAGCTTAGTTAATTCAAGGTGGTATAGGCGGCTAGGACCGCATCTTTTGGCAATGTTCCAAGTTGATGGATTTATTTCAAGGGAAATTGGCGGTGGATCACTTTCATCTAACTGATAAACTCATCACTGCAATCTCAGTGCAAATAAAAGATTACTCGGAAAATGAAACAAAATACTGGTAGCATACCGTCTGTTGTTGCTCTCGGAATGGGCAGCATATGAACCATCTTACCTGCACTGAAATTTATCATAAACTGTGAAAACAAAAGGAGAGCGGAAAATATCCTTTAAAAAAAATCACCCACTCATTAAAAAAAATAATGTACGTGCACATACTGCCTTATTATTTATCTGTGACGATTAACAAAATGGATGAAGGCTTTGAATATTGGAGTCACACGAGTTTTGTGGGTATTCTGTGTCATAACATGCAGCTGCATATCATATGGAATGGTACATGTATGTACGTGTACATGTGGCCAGTGCATGCAGACGTCTGCACTCAGAGATGTACCGGGTACATGTATGCATGACTAATGTATCAGCAGATGCCATTAAGAAATCCTGCCGTCTCGTTGGTCCCAAATTAAAACGCAGTGAACAAAAAACAGCAGGGTCTGTGGAAACACCAAAAATAGTGGTTGGATTTTCTGGGAAAAGTGACGGTCAGATCCCACTTGTGTTTGTCTGAATGGACATTGCCGTTACAAGCCGGGATTCTCAATCAATATTTCATGTGACAGCTGTATGATCACAGAATTTTGTGGTGTTCTATGAAAAAGATGTACGTTTAGTGTAAAGTCTATTGGCTGACGATGTTTATTTATGAGTGGAAAGTTGGCATACATGTATATTGTTTTGACTGTCGTCAAAATACTTACTACAGCACGTGTATGGTTGAATATTTTTATGTATAGTCGGGAGGAAAGCTGAGGCTGTTTTGTCAACATGATGCAATGTGTGAGAGACATGGCAGTCCTCACCAGTGCTTGATATTGTAGAGGATGACAGGTTTATGTTAAAATGTGCACACACCATGTGCAAGACATTAACATTTGACTAAATGTAAATTGAGGGCTTCATAGAGGCTCTGTAAAACTAGACCCAATTTCATGGTTCTGCTGTTAACCAGAGCAGAGGAATGCATGTATTTGGCATTAACTGCTGGCACATGTTGCATGTTAGCCAGGAAGTTCAGGTTGAGTGTGCTCAAACCTCCCACTAAGGATTTTGCACTCGTCGGCACAGAATTTTTGTCAAGTGCTCTAAGCATACTACTAACTGCATGAAGTATTTTTACAGTACATGTACTGGTACATGTACAGAGGACAAATGTTTGGAGGCACTGTTGAAATTTTAAAAAGAGTGATGTGCTTAAACTTTTATAGCAGTTGCATAATTCTTTGAAGGTCACATGTATACATGTATGTAAGCTTGAATCTGTTGGCAGCATGCTGTGTTGATGATGGGGGACAGTGCCATGTATGTATGTAATGTACGCTTGCAGTGAATGCTTGCCAGTTCTGTGGGGGGGGGCTGATACAGAAGTCTTGCGGCCTACTTGGCATGCAGCCAGACTCTCTGGGATCCTATTTACCCCTACCAATCCCCAGGCTAGACTGTCTGGTGGCTGCGAACTTGTGTGGGGATAATGCGGTCTGTAAATTTGATACGCACGGGTGTTTTGCTTGCTGGGGCTTGTTGTCTGGTGCACGTTGGTTTGAGGCTGGTTGTGTTACCGGATGGCTATGAACTATTCAACTCTCTTCAAGTACAGTGGCATCTATAGCCCGTGCACTGTACAACAACATGGTGACCTGTCGTTATCTTTTAGAGGGGGCAAGGAGTTACAGGATTTTCCTGTTGGTCACAAATGTTCACGTTGGAGACTCCAGCCCCAAAAGTCTCAAATCCTCCCATCTCAATATGCTAATTCAACTCTGATCTACATGTACATTGTAGATGAAGGATGGGAAGGATGCGTCACTGTTCCATGTATCAGTCAATACTCCCCTCATTTCATCAGACAGTTGGAATTACCGTCATTCCATGCCATTCACTTCAGGAAATAAGAACACTCCCAAGTATTATTATCCAATGGGCTCATCTTTTGTTGAACCTGCCGTGTGTAACTGCAGCGGATCTGTTCCTGTAGTTGCATTGGTGCATAGTTTAATTTCCTTCTCATCAACCCTCTGTTAATTTCGGGGAACTCTGTAAAGCTTAGCGTCAGTTTTGCTTTGAAGAGAAATCCAGAGTTGTAGTTTCTTGGTATTGGTAACTTTCTGTAGGTTTAATGAATGCCTTGGCAGCAGTGTACGTTGACCTTCCACTAAAGGAGTTACCGCACACTGTAAGGAAATCTATTCAGTAACCACACCTTTTGTAGCTTACATGTAGGTTCTAAAGTACCATTTACCGACCAGTACCTGTGCTGTGCATGTACATGTACACGTATATTGTACATGCACCGTACGCTTGTACAATACACATTGTGTTGTACTGAACTCTGAAATTGGAATCAGTTCGGCTTTAAACTTGAATGGGAAAAACCTTTTGCATAAAGAGCGGTCTACATAGATACTAGAACTACATGTACAAATGTACATGCACTGGTCATGCCGGTAGGAGTGAACATGTACATGTACATGTAAGCCTGAAAGTCAGGCTTACATGTACATGTACATGTACATGTAAGCCTGACTTTCAGACTGTTTTTCTACATGCATCCCCACTCCTTCCCCCCTTAATTAGTTGAACCTGGATGCGCCGTACATTTGCCATCAGCTAAGTTTGGTTGCAACCCTCAAAGGCATAGCTGTGTCCCAGATCCATTTACATGCACATTGTGCTCATGCCCTGAGATGGAATATGATAAACACATTACCGGTATATTCTGCCTTGATTTAGAACTTTAGAAAATTATTGCTCTGCCTTTAAATATTTATTCATTTATTTATTTATTTAGTAGCCACATCCAACCGCAGAAATACTACCAATTACAGGAATGGAAATAATTACACTCCAATAAAAAAAATTTGTGATTTAAATATGAAGATTTTCTACTTGTGCATTAGGGGCACTGCCTCTCCCGATAGTCATTAAACCCTGTTTTACCGTACAAATATACATGTAGCCTGATCTGCTAAATACAAAGTTTTTGGTAACAGGCATTCCTCACATTACTTTTTGGCTATTGTTTTTGATTGTATAATAACAGGGATCGGCCTGTGTCGACTCCTGTGGGCCCGGTGACTACGGCAACACTGCCACCAACCGCTGTGAACTGTGCGATGTGTCTGCGTGCAGGACGTGCCAGGACGGCACAAGGAACAACATCTGTGAAACTTGCCACAGTGGAAAAGTGCTCAAGGTACGATAATGTACAGTGTACACGCCCACATATGCACATGGACATTAGGCAAAGTCAGGCAGGGATGCTGCGTGATGTTGTTCCATGAGGCACTACACCTATACCAGTACTGGAAGGCCTGTGTTACCGATGACATCACACTTTGTTTACGCACGTATGCTATGCTTTCCAATGTGCAGAGTTTGGGATCTGTCGTCTCCACCTACATGTAGCCTCTATTTGAAAGCGTACTCTGTATGACGTCGTACATCAGGGCTTTTATGCTGATTTGGAATTGTGCCACCTGTTTGCGAGTTCACTCATGTGTCATTGCCGCACTGCAGTACACAAATGTTTGTGTTGTAAACTGAATAGCCCACGTAATTTTTGTCTCCATTTTGTGCCCAACCTCAAAATTGTGTTTGTATTTTAAATGGATGATAAAGCTGCAGTTGTTTGGTGTCTGGATGTCATTTCGTCCTCCCCTCCCCGTGGAAAAAAAATTGAACCATAAAAGCCAACTCAAAACAGAAACCCAAAGCATCTCAGATCATAAACCTCATACCATATATCCTGCCAAATTCAGCAAAACATTCTGCAAATGAGCCAACTCTTTTCTAAGTTTACAAAAAATGTCCAGGAAGTCTTCAAAACTGGTTGGCGTGTTTTGGTCTATTTCGGGCAGAGTTGTGGGAGGCAGAATCCCTGCGGTTGTTCTGACACCGCAGTATCCGTGATACTGAGAGGCATATTCTATTCAGGTTGATTGCAGTGAACAAGTGCAATGTACATAAAGGCACTGGTGTGACTGCCAAACCCCAAATTTGTGGTCTGGCAATCAGTGGGCTTTCTGGAAGCCACCCTTTGTCTGGTAATAAAAATGCTGACCACAGATTTATTCTGTCAGATTGGTTTTGTGCAGTGTAACCATGCATGCAATAATCCTGGTACCTGCTCCGCTGGCTTTTTTGGCTGAAAGTTTCATAATGTGCCACGGGTACTAGGTGTACATGTACATATACCGTAGTGTTTACCAGCTAGGGCTGTGCCAAATCTCCGGATATTCGGTCGAGTATCGAATATTCAAATTTTATTTTCCGAATTTGAATATTCGAATGCAAAATTCAATAAAACAAAGGGAGAATTTTTTTTTTGTTTTAAATGAGAAAAATTGCATTGTAGAGGCTTGTTTCAAGCAGACTGAAATGAGAGGTGTCAGAAATCTTACGACAATTCAAAAATTAATTCATTCATTACAAAATGTTAGAGGACAAGAAGTATTGCTCGTCTCTAAATCTTGCTACATCATGGCTGGAGATATTCCCAGACGTGAGAAGCTATGACAGTGATTAAAATGTACAGTTTTGTGCATTATTTCATACAGAACCAAGCACGTTCTGGGCGAATATACAACTGACTCGGCATTTATGCTCATGTTCAACCTTCTAGCTCCTCCTCCCCAAGAAAAAAATATTGTTAGCAGTGTTGATAATGGGGAAAAATGAGGCCATGTTGGCATGCTCTGTTGTGACATTTTCA